AGAGAGAAGGGGGGGGGAGGACGAAGGAAAGAAATCAGGGGTTCGGGCGGAGTGTATAAAAGACGAGAGTTCTACGACTGTGCACAACCAAATGGCATATTCTCTCTTTGAAGCTATCACTTCGCTGATTGTTGTCATGTTGTCATAATTGTATTTCAGTAAAAGTTTTGAATTTAAAACAATTTCCTTTGTATTTGCTTTTCAAATTTCTGACATCCAACCACTGACAAGCGCTGAAAAGTTAATGAAATGTAAAGACGCTTCTTTTTTAACAATGTTAAACTTGTTTCGAACAAGAGTAAAAACACGAATGGAATGTTAGTAAAGAAACCAAGAAACAGCACAAAACCCCCACACTCTTTTCAGTTTTTAACGGGCATGAAATAACCGCGGAGACCGTTCCAATTCCTCCACACCCCCATCTCTAGAAAACAATTGAAAAATGCGTTGTAATAACTCACAACACGACAATTCCATTGGCTGGTATGAGGTGTTTAAAATCTTTGATGTTTACCAAAATTCCACGGGCACGTTTGTTTTGTGGTTTGTTTAACTGAGTCTGGGCCGGAAGTTTGAGAAAAGAGGGCCTTGACGGGAGAATTTGCTTCCTTTTCGGGGGACGTGCTTCTTGTTTACTGACGCTGTACGGCCGTGGTGTTCTAGTTTTTACTGCACCAGTCAGACGTTTGGGAAAGATGTTGGTCAGAACTTTCTCAGGCCTGTTGGTTTTCTTTTGAGAATTTGGCAGCGATGGTAAGTTTTGATTTCGGTTAGGATTTAGTGTAGAATTTAGTTTTTTGATTGTGTTCTGTGGCTTAAAAAGTTGTTGTGCTTTATTTGAGGTCAATGAGTCTCTTGAAAATGGTTTTGGTTTTGAGGAAAAGCTAGTGGCAAAGCGTATTTCTGGGGGTTTGGGAAAACGTTCTCTCTTGAATCCTGATTGGCTGAAAGGAGAACGGATTTTCTGTGACGTCTTTGTTTCTCTATTTAAGCCAAGGTTCAGAGGTGCACGAGGGGGATTCCTAACGGTTGGAGGTGGTGGAGCAGGGGATAGCTTCTTGGGGGGAGACTGGAACTTTCTGATATCTCGGTTAATGTTAGATGCTGGTGTGATTGTTGTCATAGTCGTTGTTGTTGTTGTTGTTGTCATCAATGTTGTCGTAGGGGTAGTTGTAGTAGCAGCAGCAGCAGGAGTTGTAGTAAAGCTGGTGACGATGCTGTCTGGGGTGGCGCCCACATTGCCTCTCGGGTTGTCTGTGACTTGCGCAACATGGCTTCCGGAAGTTAGGTCAGTTTTGCGTTTCAGAAAAACACACATCGCGGCTCGGCCTGGGACTGTGGGTTCATATATACATATTGACTTTTCCACTACTTTGTCTCCTCAGGGAGGAAGATAAATACGACGGTAAGATGCCTGAGACCTCGCCAACTATCTTCACTGTGGAGAATCCGGTCCCCAACGGCAAGAACGGACACATTCCAGCTCCTTACACAAACGGTGGACCTCCTTCGCCCTATGTGAATGTCCCTCCCCATTCACCCTATACAAACGGCGGACCCCCTTCCCCCTACATGAATAGCCCTACTGCCCCACCCTACACAAACGAGGACGTGCCTGCTATCTCCTTCACCCCCGGAGACCGCTGGGGTTCGGAGACTCACAGCCTGGATAGCTACCAAGGCGAGGAACAGCCCGCCCCGTACATCAACGAGAACGGATCTCTAGTCTTGTCCTACCCCGAACCTGCACAGCTCGCAGACAGAGACCACAACGACGGACCGAGGGACTACCAGCGAGATCCGGCTTACACTAACACCACGCCTCCGTCCTCCAGGAGGTCTGTGACCCCTGACCCCCAGCCTCCTACGTCACCACGGAGAGGTGTGACGTGGGAAGAGATTCCAATTGAGGGGTCAGAAATGTCCGAAGACCCAGAGGCTCCTCAGCGGTCAGGCAGCGGACGACGCTTTGGACTGAGGGACGTGATGCCAGGGGAGACCATGATATAGAGTACAGTTGTACCTGTCCAATACGATCCCCTGATTTTGGGGAAGAAAGTGTCTGGAGACACTGATATAGAGTACAGTTGCATCTGTCCAATACGACCACCTAATTTTGAGGTAGAAAGTGTCTGGAGACACTGATATAGAGTACAGTTGCACCTGTCCAATACGACTACCCTCCGTAGAAGAGGAAATTATTTGGATTCAAGGATATAGAGTATAATTTAGCCTGTCAAACACTACCAACCTTTATCGAGAATGAAAGTGATTATCTAAGACAGGTGGTCTTCTTGGGCAGTGTCAATATAATGAAAATGATAAAAAATAATCAAGAGGGAATTGAAAAGTGATCTTTTGTACTGGCGACTGTCTTGGACAGGTGGTCGTTAAAGCAGGCTCGACTGTACCCTGATATGGGTGGGCACAACTACCACACGCTTATTATAGAAACCAGCTCAAATACATACATGTATTGAGATCACTGTCTCTCAGTCGGTGAATCCATTATTTTTTCGGTCTAATTCTCTAAACGCTCAATTTCGGGCCAGGATTTTTTAAAAGAGGAATTTTCACAATTTTCTCATTTCCATTACATGTACAATAATATTTTTTTCCCAAAAATCATCATTCTTATTTTGATACGTCATCATAACTTCTATGTATTTGAAGAGGAATCATTTATCTTATTAGTCGACACTTGAAGAAAACATTGTAAAAAAATTCAGGACATACGCATTTAGAGAAAAACACCGACTAATAACGATGTTTATTTTCTTAATGCCTTAAAACCTGTTAAATCTGACAACCCACACTGCATTGTCGTCACAGTGGTGGGAGTGATCATGTTTTCGTCACGGCATGACCATTGGCTAAAAATAGCAATGTTCTTTTCTTTCAATGATCTTGTTTGTTGTCTAGATCTACAATGTATATATTATACTGTTTGAAAGCTGAGTGTAGAAATAGAATAACAACAGAAATGTTTAATTAATTAAAGTATTCATCGCATGTGTGAGATGGAAATATATTGCAGTATTTCATCAATAACACGTCTGAAGCAGTTTTATGAAGGAATGTTTGTTCTCATGAGAACATGGCATGTTAACGTTTATTTTGAGTAGTTTTGAGAAGAAAAAACTTTCCTGTTTTCATATGAATTGAATTGTGGTTTCAACTGTCAGAAAATCCATTAAAATAGCCATATAGGCTTTTGACTTTTATGTCCTTAACACATGACATAAATTTTTAAAAGAGGGTGATAAGTCGAAATTAACTTTGACCAAAAAGTGATAAAAGACAATTCCTATTCTGTGTTGTTAGATTATTTGCACGAGGCGACCCTACCTACCCCCCCCCCT